TTTTTTTTTTTCATGGCCATCCTTTTCTTGGAACAGAGTCCATTTATTTTTTTATTATTTTTATTAAGATGCCTTTGTTTAGAAGCAGGTAAACATGCCTGCAGGCAAAGAATGCAGGCCTTTTGGCAAAGCACAAATAACACCAGCAGGGCCTTATTCAGGATGAAAAGGGCATTGGATCTTTTGCTTTTATGTGTCAGATAACTAAACCCTATGGCAGATGTTTCTTTGCTACTGGAGTAAATGATCCCCCGGTCTTTGGAAGACTGTGCAAATTATTTTTCTTCATGGCTGGTTGCTGCCATTTCCAAGTCAGTGTAATTGCTAGGTGCATATGCCTCGTAGACAAGATTACAACTGGTAGTGTGGGTGTCTGGCATGTTCCCACTTGCCTGGTCAGAATATCACTATCAAGAAGCTCCTGTGGGAAGCAAGGGCTAACCTTGGATCTTGTGCTGTGGAGATCATGAACATCCAGAACTTGCATCAAAAGCTGCTGTGAACTTTTGCTTGCTCCATGTTCTATCCTTGCAGCTCTCTGCAAGAAAAGGAAACTTGCTTAACAGGCCTTCAGGATGCCTGGAGAAGGCCTTCAAAAGCTATTTTATTTAAGGATGAGCTTTGGGCTGTCTGGAGGGCCACAAGGAAATTCTTACTGACACTTGGGCTCTTAATAGCTCCTTTCTGTGCTGAAAGTGCTTCTAAGCAAAACCTGCAAGAGTCCTGTCGCGTACCAGCTTGTGCCCCACTCGCTTTCCAAACGTGCTGGGGCTGCCCAAAGCTGCTGCCCTGCTGCTCGCTACCATGTTCCTGTTTTTTTGTTGTTGTTGTTTTCAAAGTGTTGCCAGGATTGCCCTTCTTTGTGGGGCCTTAATCATCATCAGGAATGAACTTTCAGAGCTGAGAGATGATGGGGCTTCCTATTTGGCTGAAAGCTGAGGAAGTACCTCCAGGAATTCAGAAGAGATTTTTTTTTTTCCCCTTCTTTGTGGGGGGTGGAATGAGGGAAAGATGAATAGACTTTTGATTTTCCCCCCTCTAATAAGAAACCAAATAATACAAAATAAAGCACTTCAGTCCAGCTGGCAAGATCTGCCTACAAATGATATGCAAATAACTCTATACTTTTTTTTTCTCCTCTCTCCTGTTTTATGGTGTGTAGATAATAGCCTCTTACATAACAGGCAGTAAATGGGCAGTTATGTTTCCCTTCGTGCTTCAGACTGATTCAGATTTGGGCCTTTTTCAGCAGCACAGGCTGCCTGGTGGAAGAGTGGGTGTCTGAGCTATCCAGCTTGAAGGTGGCAGAAGAAATAAGTCTTTTGGGGATCAGTGGTCCCGAAGTGGTGCTGGCTTTGGAGTGAAATTAGCTGCTCTGTGTGTTGCCTCCTCCACCCAATAAAGTTGGAGCAATGAGCTAAATTGTCCTTTTTTAAAATTCCGGTATGGAGGAAAAGCAAAACAATTATTCAAGAATTTAGATTTTTAACGCCCTATGTTTTGCAGTCAAGTTGCTGTAGCACGTTTTTAGCTATAACCTTTTCAAGGCCTAATTTGGTATAATCTTTTCTCAGGCAGTCAACTGCGGCCAGACTGTATGACCCTCCCAAGCCTCCAGCTGCACTCGGAGCCGACTTGGCTCCCTTCTCCCCTCAAGATCCCATGGCTAGTGGTGTCCCAGGAACAGCTTTAGGGAGGGGACTGTCCCAGGAGGGTTGCACAGGGATGGTTTTAGCAGAAAAAAGCGTTTGTCACCGAGCTGTCCTGTGACACATTGCTGAGCCAGATGGAAATGCCATGTGGTGGCAACAAAGGGGGAATGTGGTATTTGCCCATGAAGCTGAGAACTGAGTAAATGCCAGTAATTTGCCTAGCAAACAATTAAACTAGGAATACGTGAGGAATATAGTCATGTGTGCCAAATTCTGAAGAAAAGTGGTGATGCCTTTCCAAGAAGTAAAAGTTTTTTCTCAAGCGATTGGAACAAGTCTTATAAAATAGTTTTTGATTTTTTTTTTTTTTTTTTTCTGTAGGTAACTGGCATCCCGGTGTGGGGCTTTTAGGCTCTGATCATAAGCAAGAGAACAGAGCCCGTAAAACTCTCAGTATTTAAAGACAAATTCAGTTCTTTGAGCTTGTCTCGAGACAAGCTAAGTCATTCATTTAAAACCTCCTTGGCTCCCTCACAAAGAACAAAGACTTCTTTTTTTCTTTTTTTTTTTCTTTTGGTAGGAAAATACTGAGCTTGCAGTGCTTCCTAACAAAACGCTATTTCACTGTGTTAGAGTTGTGCAGGAACACAGGCTTGCTGCAAATCCAGCCCATCAGACATGTGCTGTGCTGCTTGCTTTGGAACTTGCTTCCTTTACGTGGGTTTTTGGGTTATTTTGCAATCTTCCTCTTCCTTTATATCGCTTGAGGGGTCCCCCTGAGATTCAATTCTGGTTTTTGGAGCAGTCGGTGAGGGCAAGCTGTTGGAAGCCATTAGTGGAGATGAGGGCTGCTGGCTGGAAAGCTCTCCTTGCAGCATGGCGTTGGGGGTGGCACCCTGCTCTCAAGGCTCCCGCATTGCTCCGACCTTAGGGCAGGAACATCAGGGCTCTGAGAGAGCAGTGAGAGACGCCGGTTGCTGCAGCGTGTGCTGACGAGGCATTTAATGCAAGCATTGCCTCATGTGCCTGCGGCCGGCTGTGGAAGTACAAAGCAGACGCCGGTGCCAGGGAACCAAAGGAAAATCTACAGCTCTGCGGAGCCTGCGATGCGTATGCGCCACCTTTATGAAAAATGCAGGAAGGAATTATTTTTTTTTGCTGCAGGACTCCCTTAGAGCAGACCCGCAGTTTCCCCTGAAGATGCTCTTCATTTTTCCATCTGCTAATTACGAGTCTTGCCTCCGTGCTGCTTTTTAGGAGGGTCAGTCTACCCCCCTGCATCAAAACATAATAAGCTCTTGGGTTTGTAGCCATTGAGTAGATGCAGCATATACTGCTCAGTGAATAACCACCCATATAGACAGACCAGCTTGGGATAACTGCTTTAACACTAAACGTGGAACAGAACCAAGGTAGCTCTGCTTTTGCTGTGCAGTATTCAAGCCGAAATGCACCAGGTAATGATTAATGTGCTGTGTTGAGTCTTGCTGCAGAGCGATACTAGCCCAAAGAAAAACTTCAGGCAACAACATTTCTCTTTATTATAGGGCCCTTAGCAGTCATCCTACTGCTGTCCTTCACAGAATGTTTGCAACCAAATTTCAACAAAACATAAATAGAGTTGTGTTTTTTCTTTTTTTTTAAGAATGTTTACAAAGCCCTCCAAGCTGAAAGAAACCTGCTTGGTGAGGGAACCCTGAAGTTGCAGAAATGCATCCCTTTTTTGGAAGCAATTAGCTACATTGTGAGTGCAAGTTAAGTGTGTGTTTTTTTTTTTTTTTTTTAAAAAAAAGGCTTTAGGCATAGTTTATTTCTAGATTTGCTGTGCCATATTGTGGCACAGCTATAGGATTTTCAGGGAAAACAAATGTGCATTGTGCCTGGTACTATGATAGCTGCTGGTATCAGCCTGTACAATAAACCCAGTGCTGCGCAGCAGCTGGGGAAAGGAGTAGCGTTGGCTACTAACAATTGCTTGCTTTGAGAAGTAAAAACTTTGTCTTGAGTGTTGTTCTTCCTGCTGCTTGTTGTTCCCAGTTATCTGCTGCAGATTAACAGCAAATTTGAGTTTCCAGACTGAGTACTGTCAACATTTTTGGAATTTGAATCAACTTGCCAGCAGTGTTGAATTTCTTTATAAGGAAACAAGTTGTCTCCCAACTCGAAGATGTGTTTCTGGCTCTGCAATAACACAAGCATATGCTTTTGGCCACATAGTCCACATCTGCTTGCAGCACTGTTGCGGCTCTTTCTTTCTGTCTCCCTGCTAAGTATTGTTGTCATCTTGGAGCAAAGATCAAAAACTCGTAGAAGGCAGAGGTAGGAGATATTAACTACTTCCTTAGGATAACTAGACTCTTTTTTCTCCACATAGTTCAGTCTTGCTAATCATTTTCCTTTTGAAACTTTAAGCTGGCAGGGAGGTAGATGTGGATAGAAATGTGCTGATTTCTGTTGCCAGCTACTGAGATAGCATTAGCTACAAGACAAACCTCAGGGTAGAAAAGTAGTGTCCTGCACTCGCATGTGGATTTGTCCTTAGTGAATGATGATGGATAGAAGTGTGCAGCTCTGATTTCTGTTGCCAGCTACTGAGATGGCATTAGCTACAAGACAAACCTCAGGGCAGAAAAGTAGTGTCCTGCACTCACATGTGGATTTGTCCTTAGTGAATGATGCAGCAGCTTTAGTTGCTCTTTGCTTTACTAGGGCAACCTTAAATTTTCAGAGTCTTCCCAAAGAGCTCTTGACTGCCATCACCTGCAGGAGTTTGAGGATGGGAGGGAAGAAACCTCTATTTCTCATTAGCTCTTGGTCAGCTTGTGGCAAACTGCAGCCCCTCTGTAGGATGCGGGAATGAGCCGCTTTGCTTGATGCTGGCTCTCTTGCTCAATTTTATCCGGGAATAAGCCCTCTCTGCTTACTTTCCTTGTTTTAGTGAAGATATGCAGGAGGGTGGCTGCCTGCCAAGCAGCTGAGTAGCAGTGACTTAGTCCCTAGTTTGTGTGTATGTGTCTGCCCAAAAGTGAATGCTGAGCAATTCTAGGTGGATTATCCTTCGTAGACAAGCCAGGCCTTGTAAACCTTGAGGGAAGCCCTTTTGTATGGGAGTAAACCTTTAAAGAGCTGTCTTTTCCACGCTGGGGGGGAAAAAGGCTTCTGTCTCAGATTCACTGCTGTGTGAGATTGACATCTAAATCTCCCAAGTGCTGGTTTTGCAAAATCAGGGCAGGCTCCATGATAATAGATTCTGCTGTCTGTGTCTGCATATGCCAGCTATGTGCTTGGAACAGCCCTGGACCTGCCTTCCCTGGGTTAGCAAAACTACCCCAGCTTTTGGGAGCTGCAGAATGAGAGCTGTTCGGAGGAGAGAGGAGATCCTGGGCTCATCTGTGGTCTTGTATCATGGTAGTGCATGGTAAGCTCTGGTCGGGGCTTTAAAAGATACTTAAGAGTTGCTGTGCAATTCAATAACCCTATCTCAGGGATGGGAACCTGAAAACAGCTCTCAGCAGTTCGCCTTCCCCACCAGCTTTCCTGGTTTTGCAGCTCAGCTGATGGTTTCTTGGTTTCTTTAAAACATTTCCACCTTGAGCAAGGGGTAATGTTATAAGCAAAGGAGTCTGTTCTGGGGCAGGGCTGAGAGGAAGCTAAAGGAAGAACAACCTTTAGCCCCCTTTTCAGTTGGTATCTCTCATGCTGGCTTTACCTATTTAGTCATGCTCCCAGCAGTGACGTGGGACTGTTTACACAGAGGGAGGAGGGTGGATTTCCTTCTGAGATAGGAATTGCCATAGCTGAGGAGAATGCGATTTGAATCTGCAAGACCCAAAAGCAGTGGGGAGAAGAAGTGGTGTTAAAGTCTTGCTGTTTACACTGCATGCGGTGTTGTGAACACATACTAGTTTTTTCTTTCAAGATCCTCAAAAAAGCAGCAGACTGCAAATGCAGTTCAACCTCTTGTCATTCATGCTAGATCTTGTCCTCTTTAATCTGTGCAGCTGCTTTTAAGATTAGATCCGTAATGCTGCATCTGCACCTCCTATTGCAGCTAACGCTGGAGTGTGTCACTAAGTAATTTCCCCTCTGACTTCCAAAGGGAGGGGGAATAAAAAGGCAACTTCATTCTCTGCTGTGTCACTTGATCTCTAAATCAAATAAATGCAACAAGCATGGAATTTGGCTGTGATTTATGTGGTATTCTAAAATCTGATGCAAGCATGCTAGAGATTAGTAGGCAACTTTCTGTGTAAGAGATGCTTGTAGACTTAACAAATATGTAGCCATCCTGATGTGGGTAAACAAAACCAAGCTGTTGCAGTATCAAAGGATCTGCCACAACTGTCTCCTCAGGGCAGTGTGGGCATGTATGCATGTAAAACTAACCCTGAAATAGAGTAAAGTACGAGTAGCCTGTGCTGCCTTCAGAATCATTTCAGTTTGGCAGCTGCCTGTGGCCAGCTTCAGTGCTCCAGATTCATAACTTAGCCCAGAATAGGAGGGCCTGCTGTCTTTTCTGTTTCAACATTCAAGCCATTGGTAATTGGTGTCAGAATCGTTCCTCTTCCAGCATCAGATTTAAGGCAGATGGTACCTGAAAGTGGTTGTGAAAGGGTAGCCCTAAAGGTCTTTGCCCTTTTGTCTCCGCAGGCATCTGGAGTGCAGGTTGCCGATGAGGTCTGCCGTATCTTCTACGACATGAAAGTGCGGAAGTGCTCCACGCCTGAGGAGGTCAAGAAGAGGAAGAAGGCCGTCATCTTCTGCCTCAGTCCAGACAAAAAGTGCATTATTGTGGAAGAAGGCAAAGAGATTCTAGTGGGAGATGTCGGTGTGACGGTTACCGACCCTTTCAAGCACTTTGTGCAGATGCTTCCTGAGAAGGATTGCCGTTATGCCTTGTATGATGCAAGTTTTGAGACCAAGGAATCCAAAAAAGAAGAGCTGATGTTTTTCTTGTGGTAAGCCATGTTGCCAGCTAATTTCTAGCATGAAGTCTAAGGATTGTCGGTGAGGCGGGTGAGCATCTGTATTGCCCATTGCAAGGTGGCAGAAGTAGCGGTCATGACAGCCTCGTGCCTGCATTGAGTTGCAGTCAGGAGAAGTTTTGCTTGTTCTTAGTAGCGTGTTGCCTCTGTCCGTGCTAGATAGTGCATGTCATTAACTGCTCTCTCTTTGGTGTACCCCACTAGGGCACCAGAACAGGCACCTCTCAAAAGTAAGATGATCTACGCAAGCTCCAAGGATGCAATCAAAAAGAAGTTTCAAGGTATGCCATGTGCCTTAGGTTCTTCACATACTAAAACTTACGTAATAGTGAACAGTAAAACTCTTTGCTGGTTGTCGTTTTCTTTTTTTTTTAAAAAAAAGATGCCACTAACAGATAAGAGCTTCACAGCTGAAATGCCTTATGACAGGGTTAAAATAAGCTCCCCACTATAAAGTTTAACTGAATTCTACAGGCTGTAAAACGGTACTCAGGCCTTTGTCTTGGGACAAGAGCAGACTTGGCAATGTGTGAAGCCACAGCTGTGCAGTACAGAGCAGCGTGTCTGTACCACGCAGCATAAACTATTACATTTTTAACCCTGAACTGGATTTAGTTAAGAACTGTGTAAGACAAGTTCTCAAGCTGTCAGAGATTTTCAGCCTTTCAACTTTTGAGAACCTTGTCAATTCCCTCTGCTGTAGTATTTAAAAGTTGACATGATTTATAGATGCAGTTGTCATTATTTGCTGTAATATAGATTGCCCCTCCTAATGTAGAAGCAAAGCTCCCTGTTAATCAAGGCGCCGCAGCATTAAGGAATTTTGTTCTAAATCAATCTCTGCGAAGGCTCATAGCCTGATAGTATTGATCTCCAGTTTCAAACTGTCAGTTCCTTGCACCAGCAAAGTCTTTCTAGTCTACAAGCCAAGTTGCCCCTTTCAGCCATCTTATTGCTTGTGTTTAGCTCCCTCAGCTGCCATACCCAGGGCAGGGCTAGAGATGAGACACAAGGTAGCCTGGAATAAAAAGGCTTAATCTGAGTTGTTGCCCTAGTGGCAACTTTATTCCTGCCTCAAATACCAATGTAGAATTATCATTTGATGTGTAGTCAGACACCTGTGGTGTACTAGGACAGATGAGGCAAAACTTTCTTGCTTAACTGACTTAGACTCACTGCCTGTTCTGATATTACTACTGAGTGTGTGTTTTGAGTTTTGTGTGTTGTTTGTTTGTTTTTGATTGCTGCTCTATTGAAATGCTGCATTATTGAGTGTTTTGCCTCTTTTTTAGGCATAAAGCATGAATGCCAAGCAAATGGGCCAGAGGACCTCAACCGAGCTTGTATTGCCGAGAAGCTAGGAGGCTCCCTAGTCGTAGCTTTTGAAGGATGTCCTGTGTAGATGTCATACAGTGCCACAACTCTACAAGCATTCCATGTTTTAATATATCAGTTAATGTAAAGCAACCATTCTAGGCAGGGGTTTCACTAACTGTAGGGGAGCTGTCTTGTAGAATAAGTAGACTTTGGAGATGTAGCTCGTATGTACAAATGACCCTAAATAAATCAAGTCTAAGGATTTATCTTGGTGTATTGATATTTACATTGGTTGTCCAGCCCAATACTGTCCCTGGTAGATTAACACTAAAGGCCTCCAAAAATTTTGGTCCAGTGTCACAATATGTGGGATAAAAGGGTGGGTGAGAGCAATCTGATTCCTATCCTTTTTTTGTTGTTGTTGTAAATTGTAACAAACAAAACAGACTTTTTTTTTGAGGCTACTAGCCAGACTGCCAAACTCAGAAATCTCCCCCTGTTTAAAATGAAAATTAAAACCTGTAGTTAAAATTATGTTAAAGCAACCTCTTGACACCAAAACTGGGTTAAATACTTAGCACTTGTGGTTGCAGAGCAGTGCTAGTACAGGTTATTCATGAAGTTAAGATACAAATAGGCACACTTTTCTGGAGAAATAGTCCTAATTTGCTCTCTTGTAAACCTCATAGTGCTGTAGTAATATCTTAAATTCCCTTGCTCTACAGGTGCAATTTTCTTAACTATGAAGTGTCTTGAGGTCCTTTCCAGCCTGAATGATATTATAAAAATGCTTTTCTGTCCACATAGTTTAATTTAGAACTACCTTAGTTTCACTAATACACACTTACTAGAGGATTGGACGTTTCTGAGGCTTTTACAAATGCAGACTTTTATTTTCAAGCTCTCTCATTATGTATAGTGCAGTGAAAAGGAACCACTTGAAACTCTTGTAAGTGGCATTCTTGGCCCCAGTCTTTGGTCCCTTGGTCCATTTGTCCATAATTACTGTTGATTTAACTTAGTAGAACCAGTCTGATTAATACAGCTTGACCTGGGCTTTTTGTCTGTTAGCTTCTTTAATTCTGTAGAAAATGCATGGAAATATCACCTAGAAAGTTTGATCTGAAATGCCTTTTGTATGGGGGGGAGGGGGCAGAGAACATTCCTGTGCCAGCTACCGAGATCTTAAAAGCTTCCATGGTTCACCAATGGTTGATTAAAGCTGTTTCCTTTTGTGTAATCTGTACGTGGGAGTTGCATAGAGTTTTTCCTGTATGTCTGTAGAAGAGAGGGGGAAAAAAAAAAAAGGAGAAAAAAATAACAACCCTTAGCCTCCAGTGCGTTACTGTGATATGTTCTGTGCGTGCCAAATTCTAATAGCCTGAATAAATGGGGTTTCCCTCCCCTGGGTCAGTGAGTGATTCCTCTCCACCTTTCGGCTCGTCCCTCGTGCAGGGGTTGGCAGGGCCAGCGGTGCAGGGCACAGCAAAGCGCTGCCTGCCCTCAGGCCGATGCTTGGGAGGCTGCCCTGCCTTTTGCATCTAAACGTGCCCAAGTGGATAATCATTCCCATAAAAAACCCCTCCTTGCTTAGATTCCTGCAGGCCCTGGAATCTGTCTAAAGTCCAGGCTCCGATAAGGGAATGGGACGGGGACACAGTGGGAGTGGTGCTGTCTGATAAGCAAAGGGAACTCCCAGCTGGGCTGCAGCTCACAGGGCTTGGAGGAAGGGGGCTCTTGATGAGAGGCACACGAAGCCCCTTTGGTTTGGGATCTCTCCAAGCTGATCCAAGCGGCTGTGGCTCTTTTTAGGATCCTCACAGAAAGCCTTGAGGTCACTTTGAAAGAGCAGTCCTGGATGCCAGCACTGGAAGCAGCTGTTAACCTGCATGTGTGAGTCAGCAGGCCAGGCACGATCATCTGCCCAGGTCCTTTCCCTTAAAAGGATACAAAGGTGTTTTTTCCTGTGACTGTTTTAGATCATCTCAAAGTTGTTTTCCCCGTGCCAAATCATCCCAATGTTTTCAAGAGGTGGAGGTGGGAAGCAGAGGCAGCAGGTCCATGCAGTGTCTCCTAGGCCAGGCTCCCTGTGCTGGGCAGTGCTATGGGGCCAAGTCCCCATGACAGGCCCCGCTACTGGTGTGACAGAGCTGCCTTCCCAATGCCACCAAGCAAATCCAGGTGGTGTGAGCCCTGGCCCAACAGCAAGGTGGAGGAACGGAGGAGGGAGCTTTGGCAGCCCAGGTGAGAGGAAGGCGTTCAGGGAGCAGTTGGGGGTGATCCAGCAGCTTGGAGCTGGGCCACAGCAGCACAACTTGGCTGCAGCAGGAGTAAAGCTTGTGAAGATCTCTCCAAGGCTGGATGTGGGCAAGGGTTCTCCAAAAGCTCACAAAAATGCTTTTCAACGGGGATGGCCACCCCAACACCCTCAGCAGCAGAACAAAAAGTGAAAAGCCAAACAGTGACAGAGGCCCAAGCCTACTTAGCCAGTCCTGTCACAAGGTTGTGCACACCCAGCTCTCAGCTGTGCTCAGCAGGGGACTTTCAGAGCCTATGACATGAGTCTGCAGACACCAGTTTTGCCCAGGCACCACCTGATGAGAGGAGCAGGAGGATCCCCAAGGACCTGGCATCTGTGAGCGCCGTCCCTGGAGACCAGGTTTTGGTGAAGCACAGGGCTTTGGTGAAGCCCTGCACAACCGTAGCATGTTGTGGTTCTCCTGAAGGGACGAGGTGGAGGAAGCCCGAGCTGGGATGCTCAGCCCAGGCAGTGCAGGACACCATGCAGGCACTTGTTCGCAGCTCTGGCTCTCGGCCCTGCTTTCCACAAATCCCGGAGGAACGGAGTGTTTCAGGACCCTCCTTCCCTTCCTCCCACACACAGCTGCCGGCCACGGCGCTCCCTCTGCCGGCCTCTGCGCTCCG